TTACTGGCAGAGATGAATGGATGGACAGCGGAACAGAAACCTGTATATCTGGAAACGAGCTTGAAGGGACAACCACTGGAAATACTTGGTCAGTTGACATAAGCCGACAGACACAACTATAGAGCTCTGGTAGAGGATCTGGAACTCAGGTACGAAACCCAAAACCAGTCAGAAGTCTACAGGGCCAGGTTCAGGACGAGAGTCCGTGCTAAAGGGGAGAGCCTGCAAGAGCTGGCACAGGACTTGGAGAGCATGGCACACAAGGCCTAACCAACTGCACCACCCGATCTCCTCAAGTTGTTGCTGAGGGATCAGTTCGTAGATGCCTTGGACAGTCCACAACTGAAGATACAAGTGAAGCAAGCACACCCCTCTACCATGCAGGATGCAATGGCCAGAGCTCTCGAATTTGAATCCTACATTAAGTCCAGCACAGAGGTACCGAGGTTGGTACAGTCATCTGGATTCAAGGCCAGAAAAGGGCAGCTTTCAAAACAGTTTGAGGGACCTTGCTGGCACTTTAACAAATCTGGGCACAAGAGAGCTCAATGTCGACAACTTCAACACAGGAAAGATGCCACGGTAGGAAAGGCTGCTACCCAGAAAGGTTGTGGGAACTGTGGAGAGCAAGGACATATGAGGAGCCAGTGTAAGAAGAATACCACCAATAAGTCAGCTTCGGGAAATCAAGAGGGGTTGGTTAAGTGTAAAATGGCAAGCACACATAATGTCTATGTGACAGGAAAGCAGGATGGCCAAAAGTGCAACTTTGTCATATATTCTGCACCTCAGCAAACCCTTGTGAGTATCAAGGTGCTAGATCACAAAGGAGTACCAGAAGCCATACAGAAACTCTGTGGTGTGACAGGACATTATGTAAGGTTGTGCGGACCAGTGTGAGTAACTATTGAGCTCATGGGCATAAAGGACTGACACAAAGTATACTTGGCTGACATTGAATTATACCTCTTATAATGTACCCATGATCCTAGAGTGCATGGAATACTTGGTGGCATTGCATGGATTCGAACCTAGCTCGCCAGCTCTAAAATCCAAAACTCTACCACAGGATAACCAACATCTACAGGAAATATAAGATGTCAGTTCATCATGATAATAAACTTTTATAACATCGGTTTCTATATATGACCTGTGGCTCCCATCCCATCAATTAAATTAGTGTAACAAATCTTACACAAACATATTCAGTCTGTAATTGTGTGATATATAGGTGTACCATGCAACTTCTATATTTTTATTTCAAATAGACTTTTTCAAACAAATTCATTTATTCAGATGTATGGGTCTGGTATTGAATAGGGTGCTTGATTTGTAATCTGTAGGTTCGAATCTCCATAATTGAACACTCTCGCCCTTTTAGCTCTGGAGGCATTATAATGTGATGGTTAATCTCCCTATTCATTGGTACAAAAGTAGCTCAAGAGTTGGCAGTGGGCGGTGTTGACTAGCTGCCTTCCCTATAGCATATCACTGCTAAATTAGGGATACCTAGCACACATAGCCCTCGAATAGCTTTGCACGAAATTCGAAAAGAAACAAACAAAAATGCATGTGCACTTATCACATAACGTGTGGTCAAGAAAGCTATTAAGTTTATTTTGTTCTAGCTATATTTGTTCTTTGTAATTTCCTTGGAGTGAGAAAAAGTTACAATACTCCTTGACGAATGTGTGTTCAGAATTTGATTGGTTTTAAAACTTAAGATGAATGTTGGCTTGAAGTCAAGCCTGAAACAGAGGGAATAAAGTTTATTCAGGTATAGGTACACTTTTCACATAACATGGTCAAGAATGTTGCTAAGCTGATTTCATTTGAACTATCTTTGTTCTTTGTCATTACCTTGGATATAACATCTTGAATGCTCACGAGAGGTATAACTTTAAAGCTGGACCTTGTAAAAGAAGATCAACGTCAATGTCCTCCAATGTAGGATAAGATGGTATCTCGAGATTACAACCTTCATTATGTTTTAATGAGAATGATCATTCACATGTGTAATACAAATGGTTAACTGAACTAAATAACACGAGGTTTAGTCAGTCTATATGATCATCTTGGATGAAACAGACAGTTTGGAAATAAATCTTGAGGAAGTATAGACAGGCTAATCAACTTCAGCAAAGATAGCTGTTTGTCATCCATAAAATAAAATACAGATTATTTTTATTGTGTATCACACTTCATGTTGGTTCCATATATTTCTTAACAGAGACTCAGTTTTTGTGGAATTCAATATTACTTTACAATACATCTTACTAAACTTCCCACTGTATACCTAACTAATTTACTATTTTGAGAAAATAGTTACCTGAAAATACAAGAAAGTAGGTAGGAAGGAGAAAATTTCGTGCCTTAACCACAGGATATTATTGCTGGAATTTTCTGCTATTGTTTATATTGCCCTTAGTTGAACACTTGTGTTATCTAATTTAAATAAAAGCTTCTTACTTAAAAAGTGACATTTTCTGTGATTAGAATTATGACCAATAGGGAGAGTTAATTGTTTAAGAGAGAAAGTTGAATGAGAGAGTTACTGTGTTTAGGTGATGGTGTAAAGGTTGTTGTTGTTGTTTGGCGTTTTTTGGCGCACAGCAACTAGGCTATCTGTGCCAAACAACTGGTAAAAACCGTAAAAGTACAATTTTTATATAGAATGTAAAAATAAATCTAGTTAAAACTAAACAACCTCCAAAATTCAGATTAAAGATTGAATTATAAATAAAAAGGTCAATGGCGCGTAAAAATTTTAAAACCATAGCCCATATACTGAATATATGGGCTGTGACAGCACCAGAGCAGACGATTTAGCTGTGGTGTCAGTGAGCTCGTTCCTGCAAATACCGAGATGGCCAGGAATCTAGAAAAACAGGATAGTAATGGAAGATGAAGAAGAATGGGCCAGGCGTTGTTGAATATCGACGAGAACAGGATTAGAACTAACCTTAAGTGATTCCACGGCCAGTAGAGAGCTAAGAGAGTCAGTGTAAATAGTACAATCGGTGTACTGCATAGCTTCTACATGATCCAGGGGAATAGAAATGGCATACAACTTAGCAGAAATTGTAGAGAG